GTGCAGCAAGGCACCGGGGAGGCCGTGGGACTCAGGTGTGTGTCCTTGAGGGGGGACCTGAGCTCCCTAGAAGAGGGGATCTGCTTTGCTCTTTGAAACCTGCCAGAGTCTACCTCCAGATGTTTTGTTTGCTTAAGATCGAGGAAGCACGAATAAAGGAACTCGTGCTAGACTAGTAGCTTTCCGGTGGAAGGTGCTCCCAGAGAAGTTCCGGGACTTGGGGAGGAGGCTGGCGGGATGACCGGTCCTGCAGTTGACTTAGGGGCTCCTCTGTAGGCAAGAGCCCCCCCCCGGGGCTCCCTAACTTCAGTTGGCTGCTGCAGGGGTGAGGGGAGGGATCCGGCTCTCTGCACAGCATGTCTGTCGTCTTTGGCTTCCATGGGACTTTGCTTTCACTTTCCTCAGTCTTAGGTACAGCTTCCAGTAGGTTTTCCGAGTGGGTGTAAACATAAGATAGTTCTGTGGTAGATGCAAAAGACGGTCAAAAAGCTCCTCAAAAGCAGCAGTCCTGCCGGTCGTTGAAATGTTTCAAAGCTTCATCAGGACAAATCAAGCCGTTCACCTTTCCCCCAATTAAAGCGGGTACTCGGTGCCCTTTCTTGCTCTGGACTGCTAGGTCTATCTTATGTAATTTAACCGTGGCCTATCATGATTGTCTTGTTATAAAGGAGGAAACAAAATCTTTATTGTCTAAAGACAATTTATTCATCATTTCGTGTTAATTTAAATCTCTGCCAACAAAGCCAACAATAACCAATCACTCCTCTTGAGTCTGTAATCTCGGCTCTCTGTGCACAGTACCCAGCATGATTAAACAAGCCTATCGGTATAGCGAGAATCACAGCAGGTAACTTATCTATACTTTAGGAGTAACAGTTTTAAACACTTAAAAATTACAAGTGAGCAGAATTTTTTTCTTGCTGTTTTAATACTGCCTAAGATGAAGTACAAAATGAAGGCCTCAAGCTTAGTTAAGTTTTAATATAACATGTTCCTGAATTTGCACAAAGGTCGTAAAATATAACTGTAGAAAAAAGCATTTTGAGGTATAGTTTACAAAATTATCTTGCTAACATTTGCCCTAGAAAAATCCAAGTTCCATTTCAAGATCATACAGTACACTCACTCTGCCCGTAGTTAACAAATAACTACCCCAACAACCACCACCACCTCTGCTGCATCACAAAGTTCACAGCTCCTGTGGCGACGGGCAGTGTCGGGAAGAGGCTCTTCCTGCAGTCAGGAGCTCAATTTCCTCCAATCCAACGCAGCTAGCCGGGTGGGTGGTTACGGACCGGACAAAACAATTCAACAGCCCCACCTCCTTTCCGAGGACACTCTTCACTTCATAACTCTGCAGTGACAGAAGGCATGCTGGTTAAAGCAAATAGAGCTAGCCCTGGACGTCCTGTTCCCAACAACACAGAACACCAAAGAGCAGAGCAGAAGGTCCTTCCCTTAGTCTGTGACCTTCCACTTTTCAAATGGTGAGAACAACAGGGTGAGGAAGAAAAAAAGTGACAGGCTAGATAAAAGCCCTGCTGATTATGGCAAATGAAGGAGCTCCTGTTTTCTGATCTTTGTTAGTGGATGCAACGACAAGGACGTCCCAGCTGGCTGTCCTCGGAGAGGAACTGGGGACTGACATACAAAGGGATGTGCCCCGGTCTCTAGTGGGAAGGCTGGGGGCAGGGCACGCATCATGCTTGCAGCTGTCTTCCACTTCCTTTGGGACACTTCCCCAATCTAGCAACACTTCTGGTCAAAGGATTGCCTGGTACTTTGCCCCAAACTTCCCTCCTTAACAGGATCCCGTTTTTTCTAGAGTAACTCTTCTCAGGCCAAACATGCAGAAAGCTTTTTCTTCACACTGTTTGTCTGAGGAGTATCTTACAGGCAGGTTTCATCTCTAGATGAGAACTCAGGGCACTGGACAGCATGGGAACCAGATGACTGTGCTAGGAAGGTGTGGCAGGTTTCAAACCTCAGAACACTTTCTTCCAGGGGTTGGGGGAAGTGGGACTGAAAATCAAGAGTGGCTCAAACTCGCTGGGATGAATCCCATCTCTGGCTTCAGCAGAGACGGAAGCCCTGGAAGGTAACAGGTTCTTTCAGAGGCTCCTTTGATGCCACTTGCAGAATGCTATCTGAGGTGCATCACCCCTCCTCTGCGCAAGACCCCTTCACACAAGTCTACAGTAGCTCAGGTCTGTATGTTTTAGCTCACTCCTTCCATCGTTAATGTGTCTTCACGAAGGAGATGGAGGCTGGAGGGCTCTGACAACGTGGCAAAAGTAGGCACATGTCTGTGGCTCCCTGGTGCCCTCCCATCGAAGGTGGGCACCTCACTGCCCTTACCCTGGCTTAGTGACTTAGTGACTACTTCCCACGGAAAGTATGGTGGAAAGGACACTGAGTGGCATCCCCAGCTTGGTCAGGAAGGAGCCCAGCTTCTGCCTACATCTCTTGGGATCCAGACACATATCGTGAGAGAAGCTAGACTGTGTGGCCAGAGCCCGAGAAGGTCCCAGGCAAAGAAGCACAGCAGTCAGTTGGGGACTGAAGGGCGTTTTGTGAGTCCAGCCTAGGCTTTGGGGCACCAACTGATGGCCCGCAGAGCTGTCCTGGCAGAGCCCTATCCAAACTGCAGGTCTGTATGCAGAGTAAGTATGGAGGCCACCTAAGCTTTGGGGTGGTTGGTTTTGAAGCAGTAACATGATGTTCAACCTGGGATCAACCTGGGATGTGAACACTGCTCTACCGCCAGTCCACAAGATAGTTCTGCTCTCCCATCTTTGAAGTAAGGCATATTGCAACACACCCAGCCTATTCAATGTGATCAGTAGTTTTGATTTCTTCAGTGGCTTAATGGAGGGATGGGGGAGTAAGAGTTGCAGTCAAAAGAGGTGAAAAGGGGTCAAAGGGCAGCTCAGTTAGTCAAGTGTCCCAACTCTTGATTTCAGCTCAGGTCCCAAGGTCATGGGATTGAGCCCCACAACAGGCTCTGTGCTGAGTGTGGAGCCTGCTTGAGATTCTCTCTCTCTCTCTCTCTCTCTCTCTCTGCTCCTCTCCCGCTTGTGCACTCTCTCCCTCTCTAAAACACAAACACAAACAAAAAAAGACAAATGAAGAGGCGGAACTAAAGTCTCTCACTGGACAACCGTGGCTGAGGCCTTCCTCAGCCCCAGCTCATCTGTGCCATTGATGTCAGGTTCGTGGCCCACTGCCTTGATCATTCGTCAAGGACTTGCTATAAACCAAGAGGGGTCTGATCCTGGAGAGATGGCAGAGAACCAGACAGCCGCAGGACTGTGGGGTGTGGAGGGCGCCCATAGGGCCGTGCAGAGTAAGGGGTCGCCATCCCCGGCTGGGAGGACTGAGGTAGGCCGGCTGGGTACTTCTTTGCTGTCTCTCACTACTTGTACATTCGTGCGTGGAGAAGTAGGAGGCCCAGGCACTCCTACACTCACTTAGGTGGAGAATTCTGGCTTGTAAACAAAGTCAGGAACAGATCATTCCTTCTTACCACATCAGATTTGGCAGCGATAGATTATAATAACCACATCATAGTCAATAATAACTGTGTCACTGATAAGTGGAAATCAAATGATAATTATGTTTGGGGGGAATTAAGATGGAAAGGTATAGAACAGTCACACTAGCAAATGCAAGTGCACTGTTCGTATGAACGGACTGAATGTACATATGTGTAAAATGTGTCTGTTTTTAAATTTTTTTTTTTCAACGTTTATTTATTTTTGGGACAGAGAGAGACAGAGCATGAACGGGGGAGGGGCAGAGAGAGAGGGAGACACAGAATCGGAAACAGGCTCCGAGCTCTGAGCCATCAGCCCAGAGCCCGACGCGGGGCTCGAACTCACGGACCGCGAGATCGTGACCTGGCTGAAGTCGGACGCTTAACCGACTGCGCCACCCAGGCGCCCCTATGTCTGTTTTTAAAAGGCGCACTACATTTCCCTTCAACTTTTATTTTTCTGAAAGCTAGGAAACAAACTCCAAATTTCGTATCACTATAATGTGACCTTTGACAACTAACATGTACAACAGCAGCCGCTCCATTTCTCACCTCTGTAGCTTGAACACGTCAAAGTTTTGGTATAAAACTTCACACTCCGGTGTCCTAACCAGAAACAGTACATCTGTTCCAGGGAGTGGAGCTATGGTTCTCATGGAAAGACTAATTTGATTCTTTGGATTTTGGCAAATGTGCATTCTCACCCAGAAAATGGACGGAATCCAGACTGCAAAACTCATGCTCATGTCTCCACAGAGGACCTTCTTACACCCCTCTTCTATCAGCTCCTTGCAGGTCAGATGTAAAGCCCTGATTATCCACTGTGGGTAAAGCTGGGGGAGGGGGAAGGAGCTGACTAAAATGTACCTCCAGGCTTGCAATTTACCCTAATTTTACTGGCGTCAGCTCTGATAATAGAGCACCCAGAAAGGTGACACCCAGGACTGTTGCCACCCTGTGCCCCTCACCCAGTGCAAATGTGCACACGTAGGCACACACAGGTGTGTACACACGCTCAAGCACACCCACAGGCAAACCCACCGGCAAACGCACCCACGCTCAGATACACACACGTTTGCACACACACCCTTGAGCTCTTTATAAGTAGGGTTTTGCCTACAGGTGCCCCGTAGTTGAGAGGTGTGATGTATAAGAGGTACAAGTCAGCCTCACTCAGAAGGAAATCAAGTGAAGAGACAGTTCTGCCAGGGCCTCCTCCTGATCCCCAGGTCCCTACAGAGAGGTTGGGGAGTCAAGAGCAGTGCGTGGCTGAAGGCTTCCCAGGGGGAGCACCAGGCTGCTCTCTGGAGGAGCCTGTGGGGAACCGAAGGGAGAACAGGCCTGAGCCTGGTAGGGCCCAGCCAGGGCCACCTGAGGAACTGCGGGGCAGGTGCTGGGCCTCTGTGCCCATGTGGGCCTGCGGGGAGCCGTGCACCATCCCAAGTGCTGGTTCTTGTTTGCTGAGGCTGTGGGTTGGGGTTCATTCGCTATGTGTTTTCCTTAAGCAGAAGTTTTCCCAACACTTCCCAACTTTTTGCCCAGATAACCTAGATCTGCCACGTTTACACCTGTTTAAAGCCCCCTCCAATCCCATCAGCCTTACCCAGGATCACGCCCTTCTTTCTTTGCCTCACCCACCCCAGAGACTGAGAGATAAGGTGACGAGGAATCAGTCAGCAGGTACTGCTGTCTTGTCACCCAGAAACTTCAGGGGGAACAGAAACATACACACAAGGATCCCTGTCACCCTCCCACACTCTGCTAGGTAGTCACTTCTGGGGATAACAATGTACCCAACGAAGACTGTGGCTGCGGGCCCTGCACTCTCGTTTCTTTAGTGGTAAAATGTGGATTCTGCACTACCGAGATGTTGGGGACGTTAAATAAGGCAAAGGTGTAAGAAAAACGGTGAGCACAGTTGGTGGCCCACTGTAGTTACCGACTCACATTTTACTTGGACACAGTCAGGGAGTACTTGCTCATGAGCCCTCCCATCAGTCCCTACACGTGAAGCAGCCCTTGGGATACAGGTTTGGCGTGGGGCTGGAGGTGTCCCCATGCTGCGCTAGGGAGCTATGCCCCCGCCGGTGCGCTGTATCCCAGGGAGAGAGCCAGAAACTCTCTTTAGGGCTCCACGGGCAGTTCCGCCCTGAAACCTGGTCGGACCAGTGATCCCCTAGGATCCTATTCATGGATTTATCCGCGTCCCAGTTTAGTCCAAACTTTGAGAGCCATGGTTTTGAGGGAGGAGTGTGAATGGCTGCTCCACCTCCTGTGCTGCCGACCTCTGCCCCTCAGGAGGGGCTGGCAGCTGCCGGAGGCAGAAGCCCCTCGCACCTCCAGAGGAGCCCCACATTCTGGCTGCAATCAGAGCTGGAATTTGGCCATGGGATCCCATCAGAAAGTTCTGCAGATGACCAGCCCGCTTTTTGCCACAATCTGCCCAGCTGGCCCAAGTCTGCTACTTGGATGTGGACCCCACCACTGGCCACAGATACCTTTTGTGACCTGGGAACTGTGCCCTGGCACCATTGCAGTGGTCAGTCCCCCGTGCTCTTCTCTGGGGTTCAGTGATTCCACGGGCCACTTGTGGTGCTAGCAGATGGTTTTGACCAGACATGTCTAGGACAGACCTTTCCTGTTTATGAGGGCCAAATTTTACAAGGAAGAAACTGTCTCTAGGCCGTAAGTTATGTATGTTTAGGTGGTGGTTTTCTTGAAGGAGCACACCGCTTTACTAAGCCTCACACCACAGCAACTCTCAGGGCAGGCAAAACGGTTCTGAGAAATAACGGTAATGTTCCAGTTCCTCAGACTCTGGAATACCCAGCAATTAACAAACACAAGATGCGTGCCTCAGATATTCCCGTTCTATTAATGTAAAACCATGGCAGGCCTTGAAGTGTCAACTGTCTTACTAAAATCAAAGCCAGGGAGATAGATTCACGGATCTACTGCAAGACTGGTTAGGAAAGAGCCTCAATCCCGCAAGGGAAAGGTCTCGTGAACAGACACGGCCCTTGTCAGGAAGAGACGGCGGTGTGACGTGCCCACGTCTTGGCCTGCTCCAAACACCGAGGACGCGCACGATTACACTGCGGCACTCCGCTGTGACCGAGAGTGCAGGAGGAGGGGGTCTGCACCTGGGGATGATCCACTGACTCGGGCTGAAGCGCACAGGGCTGGACACCTGGGCTGCGTGTCCCTGGACTCACCCCATCTTCGCAGGCGGCGAACCTCAGGAGCGAAGAAATACTGGCCTGGGACAGCTGCAAGGACAGCGGGGCGGGCGGGTTAGACCCCAGGACGGGTGCCAGTGCTCAGGCCCGCGCCCGGGGTTCGTGTCGAGTCTTCATCTCTCCGGTAGCTTCCCTCTCCGAGTCTTAAGTCCAACGTGACTGTAAGTCACAGACATGGGAAGACAGTGTTCCTGAGGGGGAGCCCTTCCCTCCCCTCCCCCAGGGAAGGAAAAACAGAGGCCGCCCTCCCAGCTGGCGGTGCGGCAGAGGGGCTCCGTGACACAGAGTGGGACGCATGCGAGCACCGCCCGCCTCCTACCTTGACCCTCACTGTGCACTGGGGGCGAGACGGGCAGTCCAGGAACACCTGCAAGTGCCTTCTGAGAAGAGGAGAGATGACCACGCGGGAGCAGTCCCCACAGGAAAAGGCGCCTCTGTTGTTTGGAAACACACAGGGAAGATAGGACTTGGAAAGCACAAATCAGAGGAGTCTAGTGGTAGACAATTTTTTCTAAACACGAGTGTTTGCTGACACAGAAAAGGGGATTTACCCTCAGAAATGAAATTCCTGAAATAGGCCAGAAAAAGCTCCAGGCTCAGCCTGTTCTGAGGGACCAGGGTCAGCCTCCCGCTAAGGGCTGAGTAGGTAACTGATGCCCCAAGGGACGGAAGGGACACGGGCAGGGCAGTCTCATTCGAGCTGGGAGGGGGGGACAGCAAACATCCCACGAAGCCAAGTGGAGGCCCTGGGCTCAGCAAGCAGAGGTCAGGGCTTCCCTTCTGCCTCAACAGGACAACCTCCTCCTTGTCACCAGTAGCTATGCTCCTTACTGCCACCAAGTAAGCCTGTGACTCAAACTCTTCTTGTCTCTTAAATATGATCCAGTAATGACTTGTTTACACCTAAGGCCACCGGCCCAGGAGGCGTCAAGGAGACAGCTGTCCTTTACTTATTAAGAAGCAGAAAAGTAACAATCAGGCCTCCTCCTGTCAGGTGACAAAGTCACCTTGGGAGGCTGGGGAACCGGCTCAGAGAACTACATTGATACCCAACCCCCTGGGGCCCAAGGGAGGGTATGCAGTAACGCTGGTCCAGGGAAGGAATGTCTGTTTACACAGATGTTCGCTGGTCTCTGGAAAAGTCTGTACCCCCGCAGAGGACAAGCTGTAGAGTCACCAAGTTTGTCTCATTCATTCACATTTGCCCTGAGTTTTTCTTTTTACTCCTGACCGAAGATAAAGGAGCTGAGCACAAAACCGGGCTCTTTTCTCTTTGGTGAAGTGCAAGGACCAGCAACACGCCCTGCCATGAGGAAGCAAGCTCACCTTGCACCACGGCCTTCTAGCTGCAGAGCCGCTACTTGGCTTCCGGGTGGGAGTCATGCCTGGGCCCTGGCAGGGGAAGCTGGCCCGAGGCAGCGTGGCACTGGGGCCCTAGGACTGGCTGCGGCTGCCCTGGGGTCTGTCAGGACAGCTGCTGCATGCTTACCTGTCTCCCGGGCTCTGCTCCAGTCTCTCGTTGCCACACAGGTCACAGGTGGGCCATGAGAAAGCCGTGCTCTCATCCACACCAACCACAGTGCCTGGGCCCACGTGAAACAAAGATGGAGTCTCAGGGGCAGTGTCCGCCCTCCCAACTTCTCTCTGTCCCTCAGGCCCTAGATGCTAGTGTGAGGTTCCTCAGGTTGTTCTCTCCCTTGTACGTTTATACAAATGTTCCCAAGCTTTTTATAATTTCCATGTACTGCACAAACAAAACTACAACAATAAAAAGTAAGTTGTTTAAAACTTGCCCATATTACTACCTAACCAAGTATTTCCATTCTGCCTCATTGTTTTCAGTTTTTTTCCAGATGTGTACATACTGAAATCATTACAAGCAAGCTGTCGGGGCAGTGTCTCACACTACTTTGTAGGTTGCTGTAGAGCCGTTGCAAGGACTGTCTTATTTGATATTCCATTTAAGTCACGGTTCCCTCCATACTGGACATACAGGTCTGAGGCAGTGGAAATCTTTCCACGTAAGGTCCTTATTGTACTGAGATCTCTTCCTCAGGCTAGATTCATGGAAGCAGAATCACTCTGTCAAGAGTATGAGTGTTGGAGATACAGAAACACCCTGTTACAAGCTGTCTCCCACAAGGAGGTTCACGGTGATTCACACTGTCACCATCCATTCACAGAGTGTTAGCCTCACCTCAGTATTTGCTTCCTTGGTAAGTATAATGGAATTCCTTATGTTCATTTCTACTTCTTTGGTAAGGAAAGAGAAGTATTCTTATTGGTTTGTTATCCTCTTATGTGATTTCTTTGGTTTCCTTATTTCTTTTGTAACCCAATATTTGTGATTTATTTATTCAACAAACAAATGTGTATACAATGCTACTTAGTGTGGGATATACATGTAGCATGAAATATATAATGATGAATACTGCAATCCCCACTCTTGTGGACTCTCCAGTCTGGTTGAGAAGAGAGATGAACAAATAATGAGAAAAATATGAATATGGGAGAAAACATTCACAAAAACATACCAGATAAAGGACTGTTATCCAAAATATACAAAGAACTCTTACAACTCAACAATAACACAGACAACCCAATTAAAAAATGGGCCTAACACCTTCATAGATACCTCACCAAAAATAATATAAGATGGCAAATAAGTATATGAAAGATGTCAAACATCATATGACCAGGGAAATGCAAATTAAAACAAGGAGAACACAAACACACACACACACAAAATTCCAAATAATCCAATTAAAAACGGGCTGAGGACCTGACTAGATATTTTTCCAAAGAAGACATCAAGATGGCCAACAGACACATGAAAAGATGCTCAACATCACTGACTAAAAGGGAAATACAAATCAGAACAACAAGATATCACCTCATACCTGTTGGGATCGCTAAACTCCGAAAGATAAGAAATAACAAGTGTTGGCAAGCATGTGGAGAAAGGGGAGCCCTCATGTACTGTTGGTGGGGATGCCAATGAGGGCAGCCACTGTATGGAGGTGGCTCAAAAACAGTATGGAGGTTCCTCAAAAAATTGAAAATAAAAATACCATATAATCCAGTAATTCCCCTATTGGGTATTTAACCAAAGAATACAAAAAGACTAATTGGAAGATATATACACTCTGATGCTTATAGTAGCATTATTTACAATAACCAATTTATGGAAGCAGTCCAAGTGTCCCTCTATGGATGAATGGATAAAAACAGATGTGATACATACACACAAACAGGGGAATATTATTCAATCATAAACGAGAATGAGATCTTGCCATGTGCAATAAAAAGGATGGACCTAGAGGGTATTATGCTAAGTGAAATAAGTCAGTCAGAGAAAGAGAAATACCATATGATTTTGCTTATATGTGGAATCTAAAAACCGAAACCACCAACCAAACAAACACAAAGTAGAAACAAACCCATAAATACAGAGAACAAAGTGGTAGTTGCCAGCGGAGAGAGGGGTGGGGGATGGGCAAAATGGGTGAAGTGTTACAGGCTTCCAGTCATGGAATAAATGTTATGAGGAGATGATAATAGAGCTGTATGGTGACAGATGGTAGCTACCCTTGCAGTGAGCACAGCACAATGGATAAAGTTGTCAAATCACGATGTTGTACACTTGAAACTCCTGTAACACTGTGAGTCACCTACACTTCAGTAAGTAAAACAAAACAAAATACCCAACAATGAGATAACACTACGCACCTATTAGACGGGCCAAAATCCAGAACACTGACCCCACCAAATTCTGGTAAGGATATGGAACAATAGGAACTCGCAGTCATGGTCGGTGGCATGCAAAATGGTACAGCTACTTCGGAAGACAGTTTTGGCAATTTCTTGTAAAACCAAACATAGTCTTACCATATGACCCAGCAATTGTGCTTGGTGGTATTCATCCAAAGGAGTTGAAAATTTATGTCCACACAAATACCTGTATACAGATGTTTACAGCAGCTTTCTTCTTCTTCTTCTTTTTTTTAAAGTTTTTATTTATTTATTTTGAGAGAGAGGGAGAGAGAATCCTAAGCAGGCTCCGCAATGTCAGCACAGAGCCCTATGCGGGGCTTGAACTCATGAACCATGAGATCATGACCCGAACCGAAACCAAGAGTTGGACACTTAACCAACTGAGGTTAACCCAGGCGCCCCAGCAGCTTTATTCTTAATTGCCACAACTTGGAAGCAACCAAGATGTCCTTCAGCAGGTGAATGGATAAACTGTGGTACATCCAGACAATGGGATATTATTCAGCACTAAAAAGAAATGAGCTATAATACCATGAAAGCATACATGGAAACGGAATTCATATTGCTTAGTGAAAGAAGCCAGTTTGAAAAAGCCACATACTGCATGATTCTAACTATACAACATTCTGGAAAAAGCAAAACTACACAGACAGTAAAAAGATCAACGGCTGCCATGTGTTAAAGGGGAGGGAGGGTGAATAGGTGGAGCAGAGGATTTTTATGTCAGTGAAACTACTCAGTCTGATACTGTGATAATGGATACATGTTGTACATTTGTCTGAACCCATGGAAGTACAATACCAAGAAGGAACTCTAATGTCAACTCTGGGCTTTGGGTGATTATGATGTGACAATGTAGGCTCATCAACTGCGACAAATTTATCACCCTGGTGGGGGATGTTGATAATGGGGGAGGCAGTGCATGTGCAGGGGCAGGAGGTATGGGGAATCTCTGTAACTTCTGCTCAACTGTGCTGTAAACCTAAAACTGCTCTAAAAATAGTCTATTAAGGGGGTGCCTGGCTGGCTCAGTATGACTCTTGCTCTCAGGGTGGTGAGTTCAAGCCGCACATTGGGCACAGAGCCTACTTAAAATAAATAAATATATAGTACATTCATAAATAAATAAAAATAGTCTATTAAATATTATCATAAAATAAATGCTAAATTGAGAAATGGAAAAGACCCTTGAAGGTAGAGAAGAGAGGCTCTCTAGCTAGCTTGAGGTCAGGGAAGGTTTCCCAAAAGAAGAGACACGAGGTGTGGTTGTAGGTGGGTGACAGGTGCTGGTGGGGCTGGAGGCCAAACAGGCATAAAGGAAAGGCAAATGATATGGCTGAGAGGTTGGGAACCCAAGTCACTCAGGGTCTTGCTAGGGATGTTAGACTTGGAAGGCATGAGAAGTCAGTGAGGAATTTTAAACAGGAGACTGAGATGCTCTAATTGTCTTGAAATGTGAAGCATTATAGATATCATCTAGATACATTAGCAAACCATAGACCATTCTTACTGAAAAGTGGTGAGATTAGACATTAGAAAAGGTGTGACCTAAGTTCCCAGAAAAATAGAAGAATCATCCCTCCTAGTCCTGGAACAAAGATTTTCATTCTCTACTAGAACAAGCATTAGGAGAAACGTATCTGTAGGGGATAAAACAATTGTTACAACTAAGTAGGCTTGATTTATTAAAATGCATTCATGCAAGCCTACTTGAATGACTTTTTAAAAATGAAAATAATAGATCTTGATTTTGAAAAGGCTGTCCCAGCTAATTTCATTGTCCTTGCAAATCTAATCAAGATTGAGTCAAAGGGATAAAAAGTAAAGTCAATAACGGCTTATAATACAGCCGGAAAGGAGTGTTGACCAATTCACAAGAGGCGGAGGCATAAGTAGGGCCAAGCGGGATGAGGGGTTCCCATGCCACGGGTGTGTGTGCCCAGTGCCAGCTGGTTCACAGCAGTACTTGCTAAGTGTATGCTACATGAACTAATTAAAAGAAGACTGCTACCAACGAAAGTTCCTTTGTATCCTAAGATATCTTTGGGTGTTAACTGCACTTACATTTAGATGGGATTAAGCAATTTCCTTCCAGCAGGGAACAAGACACAGTTGAAGAAATGTATTTCATCTGGGGTACACACCACTGGAGATGCCTTCCAGTAACTCGAAATAAATTCCAAGGGATGGCTGGGAAGTGTACTATTAAACTGTTAGCATCTAGAACATTTGCTTAAATGAAAACAAAAGGGAAAAAAAAAACCCATTTTTGTTAGAGTTTGAGGGTTGTAACCATACTCATTGTTTGGCGGCAATGCACTATTAGAAGCTTTTACTTTTTGGGGTGCCTGGGTGGCTCAGCTAGTTAAGCATGGACTCTTGATTCCAGCTCAGGTCTTGATCTCACAGCCCTGAGTTCAAACCCTGCATTGGGCTCGACACTGGGCATGGAGTTTACTTAAAACATAAAATAAAATAAACTTTTTACTTTCCCTATCCTATTTACAGAAATCTCTTGTAATCAGGTTTGGGAAAGGTGTATCACAGATCCATTAAAACATGTTTTCAAAAAGGTTCTTTCACAGGCTCCTTCCTGGGAAGTGCAGTGGCTCCTTTCCAGTAGGGGACAGGGCAGCTACAGGCTCCGGTATTTTCTTCAGTGACTTTCAACTCTCTGGCACACCCTCCTCTCCACTCTTGTTTTCTAATGGACAGAAGCTGGGGCTCAGAAGTGAGGCCAAAGCCTGGTCTGAAGACAGGACTTGGCCACACATTTCCAGGGAAGCAGAGTACAAATCTACCCTTGCTG